TTTAAAATCTCTGATAGGAAGTAAGCTTGGACAAATTAAATTATACAAAGTTTTTTATAAAGCAATTTTGAATTTCGAGGAACAGTTAATATTCCGATAAAATAAATTAGTTTTGTGATTTTGACTTTTTGTTTTGATACAAATTATGCGATTTCAAGAATGGTCTTGGGATTGGATTTGAGTAAAGTCAATAGTTTCTAGCTGAAATGATGACTCTGTTCTCATTTTGGGTGACTTGCCTAGTTACTTTTGTGATATAAATTTAAATTGAGTCAAAATATATAAAAAGGACCTCCCTTTTGTAAATATATGACGTTGTGACTAAGATACAATTGGTCTGACTTGGAATCAAGCCATTCACAAGGGTTAAAGTTTCTTGAAAATCTAGCAAAGATAGGAGTTGTTTTTTTCTTTTGAAAAATAAATTTCCACTGAAACAAAATCTTGCTCATTTATTAGTATCAGCACTAAAAATATGAATAAACATAAAACATCTCACACAAACATAAGTTTGAAATTATAGTACTATAGGTACCATCTACATAGTACCTAAAGATAGTACCATAGGCACTATCTTATATATATTTTAATAATTTAATATTTCTTAGTTTTAAATTCTTAATCAGCAGAACCCCGTTAATAACAGTACTTTTGTATTGAAGGGTTATCCTGGATAAATATTTCAATTATTATTATTATTATATCAAGACATGTCTAACTATGTACAGTATAAGTACTACTTATAATTACATGCGAAATAATTGCACCCAAAGGGAAGAAATAGGGTAGTTTTAATCCAACTTACAGTATAGACAATTTTTTCCTTTTCATCATATTGTTTCCACGCCAGGGTAATCTGTTTTGTTCCAAAGTCTGTTATTTTAAATTCCCCTGGTGCTTCAGGTCCTATAGTGTTACGTTAGAGAACAAAAAAAGGTAAAGAAAGGCCTTGTATATTGAAAAAGTTATCGAGTCAGAATAACTTGGGGAAAGAATCTTATCATATAATGAATGTTACAAGTTGTGCTTTTTTTTAAATTGTCAATAATCATAAAATAAAACAAATTTTTTTTTTAGTATTTTTTTTTCACCAATCATGTCACAAACCAATATAGTTTTCATAATAATCTCATCAAACTCACTTGATGTTTCCAGTTCCAAAGGTTGGCCATAAGGTCCAGGCCCTTCTGCTGTGTAAGCTCGAACAGACACATTATATCTAGAACAAAGCTCTAAATCAGACAGGACAACAAATGTTACTGAGGTGTTGACTGAGGGGCTATAAATTACAGATCTTTTGCGCAAATTTCCTTTCTTCGAGAAGATGGCCTTGACTTCATACAAAATAACTTTTCCATAACTCTTTTCTCTTAATAGAGGTTCCCATGATATGTTAAAAGTCGTCTTGTTCACTTGAGCGGATGAAGGACGTTCTGGGCCAGCTCCGGGTGCTGAGGAAGAGAGTAAAAACCTCACGCTATCAGAAGACAATATTATTAGTTTTATAAAAAATGTTTGAGTATTCTATTCATAAAGGGGATATATTTTTACCACAATTTGGAGAAAAATACCAAGAATTTTCGATAAAGTAAAGAGGCAGTTGAACCTTTGTCACCTAAAATGCACCTGCAAGTCTACAATCTAAGATATTTTCTTATTATTAGTAATTAGTTGAACAATTAGGATCGCTTAAGTCTTCAGCTACAAAGAACAGGACATTTTGTTAATTGATTCACAGCAAATGGAAGTCACTTGTACTTATTTGCTCGTTTTCAACAAAACTTAAGTTTTTTCCTGACTTTTTTTATTATTTGATACATGTAAAGTAGCGTAGGTAAATCATCTTTAGATAATTTGTACTATAGGTGTTAATATCAATGAAGATATGTACAAAAATAATTTAGGTAATTGCCCTTTTTTTCCCTACTTTTGTGCTTTCCCAACTAATAAATAGGAATCACCCAAGTAGTTTAGCGCTTAAGTTATTTTGGGCGACCAACTACTGTCTGTTTTTTGGAATTTACACAATGTATAAAAATTTATTTTAGTATGGTAAAATTAAAAAGAAGTCCTTTCAAATATATGAAGGTAAAGTTTACCATATTCCTTAGTAGTTACTGTTTTCGTGGCATTTATTCCAGGTTTAATAGTCACAGCTCTGACATTAAACTGATAAGTCACTCCACCTAATACATCAACAGTGTGACTAAGTGCAGATTTCCCTATTCCAGAAATCTCTCTTGGTGCAACTCCATCGTGACTGTAAAACAAAGTATAACTTTTGATAACTCCATTTCTTTCTCCAGGCTCACTCCAGGTCAGGGTTATTCTTGGACCATGTGACTTGCTTGGTGACAGATCAGTATATGACAAGGAGGTAGGTGCATCGGGCGCTGGCAGAATAAAGGAAAATTGTTAACACTAACTAAGAGTGAACAAATCAACAATAACTGCATGCTGTTTCAAAAAAGATTACTTGGGATTCAAAAAAATATATATCATTCAAGAAATAGTTTG